AACTGCTGCTGGGATTTGGAAGGCCCTGGAAGATGAATTTCTTCATAAATCTCTGCCAAATAAAATGTACTTGAAGCAAAGGCTGATTGGTTTCCGTATGGATTCGTCGAAGAACATTGAAGATAATGTTGATGTGTTCAAGAAACTCGTTAATGATCTAGCAAACCTCAAGATAGATGTATGTGAAGAAGACCAGGTGTTGATTCTCTTGAATTCACTGCCGGATCAATACGAGCAACTCAAAGACACATTAAAGTACAGTCGTCGAGAGTCAATTACTCTAGACGAAATCACCAGTGCTGCATATTCAAAAGAACTTGAATTTGCAGCAAAGACAAAGAAGGCTGGGGCAGAAGGCTTAGTCGTTAGGGGTCGACCTGAACAAAGAGACACAAAGAACACCAAGAACAGAAGGAAATCCAGATCCAAGTCGAAGACTAAGTCTGATTCTGGATGCTGGTACTGCGGAAAGGAAGGGCATTTCAAGCGTGACTGCAATGCCAGGAAGAAGTTTCAACAAAAGGAACAAGTAAAATCCAAGGATGACACTGTAGCTGTTGCAGAATATGAGACAGAAGTTCTTACTGTCTCAGATCAAGACCCCAAGGAAGTGTGGATCCTCGATTCAGGGTGCACATACCATATGACGCCCAGAGACGACTGGTTCTGTAGCCTAAACCGGTTCAACGCAGGGAAAGTACTCATGGGAAATAATATGGCATGTGAAGTGGAAGGGGTTGGCAGTGTTAGGATTAAAACACATGATGGTTCAATCAAAATGCTACAGGACGTAAGGTACATACCCAAGCTCAAGCGAAATCTGATTTCACTTGGCTCTCTCGATCAACAGGGTTTCACTTACAAATCAAGTGAAGGGCAACTCAAAGTCTGTAAAGGCTCATTGGTGGTTCTGAGAGGAGAACTGCAAGAAGGGTTGTATGTGCTACAAGGTTCAACCGTAACAGGTGAGGTTCATCAGGTCAACACGAAAAAGGATGATACAGATTTGTGGCACCGCAGGTTAGGACATATGAGCATGAAAGGACTAGAGGTGCTAGCTAAGAGGGGATATTTGGATAAGAAAAGGATAAGTGCAATACCATTTTGTGAGGACTGTGTAATGGGGAAAGCTCATAAAATCAGTTTTAGTGTGGGTAAACATACAACAAAGCAGATTTTGGAATATGTTCATGCTGATCTGTGGGGCTCATCCTCAGTCAGTCTATCACTGTCAAAGATGCAATATTTTCTATCCATCATCGATGACTTCTCAAGGAAGGTGTGGGTATGTTTTCTCAGAACCAAGGATGAGGCAATGACAAAATTTGTGGAATGGAAAACATTGGTTGAAAATCAGACCAACAAGAAAGTAAAGTGTCTCAGGACTGACAATGGTTTGGAATTCTGCAACAAACCATTTGATGATTTTTGCAAAGAAAATGGGATAATGAGACACAGAACATGTGTCTACACCCCGCAGCAAAACGGAGTAGCGGAACGGATGAATCGGACCATCATGGAGAAGGTAAGGTGTTTGCTCAATGAATCCGGGCTAGGAAAAGAATTTTGGGCCGAGGCTGCAGCAACCGCAGCTCACCTTATCAACAAAGCCCCATCTTCAGCAATAGAATTTCAAATTCCTGATGAGAAGTGGTCTGGCAGAAAGCCAATTTACAGCTATTTGCGAAGATTCGGGGCTCTGGTGTATGTACATACTGACCAGGGAAAGTTGAATCCAAGAGCTAGAAAAGGAGTTTTTTTAGGATACCCAGTGGGAGTGAAAGGCTACAGGGTATGGATTATGGAAGAAAGAAAATGTGTTGTGAGTAAGGATGTAATATTCCAAGAAGATATGGTCTATAAAGACCTGGCAAAAGGAGAACAGAGATCGGAAAAAGAACAGGACAGAAGCCAGGTAATAACTATTCCGGTAAGCAACAATCCCTCACTTGGAAACATGAGCTCGAGAATAAATTCTGAGCAAGGTGGAGATACAACTGAAGTTCAAGGTGGAGTTTCAGAGTCAGAAACAGAAATGGGACAGAATTCTGAGACAGAGGAAGAACCTGATGAAAGTAGTGAAACAGAGGCAGATAATATGCAGGAAAGTGAAGGGGACTTGGGAAATCTCAGAAACTACCAACTAGCAAGGGACCGAGACAGAAGAAAGGTCGCCAGGCCAGCAAGGTTCTCTCAAGCAAACTCGGTTGCATTTGCTCTAACAATGGCAGATGAACTGAACATGGAAGAACCCAGGAACTTTGAAGATGCCATGAAAAGGACTGATTCCAAGAAATGGAAACTGGCCATGGAAGAGGAAATGAAGTCATTATGGAAAAATAAGACTTGGGAACTAGTGGACAGACCTGAAAAACAGAGAATCATCGGTAGTAAATGGATCTTCAAGAGAAAAGAGGGAATTCCGGGCATAGAGAAACCAAGGTACAAGGCAAGGTTAGTAGCCAAAGGATATTCCCAAGTGGAAGGAGTTGATTACCAGGAAATATTTTCACCTGTAGTGAAACATGTTTCAATAAGGCTTCTACTGTCAATCGTTGTACACCAAGATCTAGAATTGGAGCAGCTAGATGTCAAGACAGCGTTTCTTCATGGAAATCTCGAAGAGAAGATTTTCATGTTTCAACCTGAAGGTTTTGTGGACAAAGGACACGAAAATCAGGTATGTCTGCTCAAGAGATCGCTTTATGGACTAAAGCAATCTCCTCGACAGTGGAACAAACGTTTTGATGGTTTCATGATAGATCAGAAATTCTGCAGAAGCATGTATGATCCGTGTGTGTACTATAAACGGGAAAAGGATGGAGCATACACCTATCTTCTACTGTACGTAGATGATATGTTGTTGGCGGCAAAGGAAATGAGTGAAATCAACAAGTTGAAGAGGCTGTTGAACTCTGAGTTTGAGATGAAAGATCTCGGTTATGCTAAGAAAATACTTGGCATGAGCATAAAAAGGAACAGAGAGGCTGGAACACTGACATTATCTCAGGGAGAATACTTAAAAAAGGTTCTGAATGTGTTTGGAATGAGCGACTCTAAGACAGTTTCAACACCCATAGGAGGACATTTTAAGTTGAGTTCGCTGAAGGAAGCAGATTCAGATTCTGAAATAGTGTCAGCCCCATACTCTAATGCTGTCGGAAGCATTATGTACGCAATGGTCGGATCAAGACCAGACTTGGCATATGGAATAGGCTTAGTAAGTAGGTTTATGAGCAGACCAGGAAAAGAGCATTGGACCGCTGTAAAATGGTTGTTGAGATACATCAAAGGATCTGTGCAGAATAAACTAATATACACAAGGAGCAATGAGTTCTGTATGCAGGGTTTTTGTGATGCTGATTACGCATCGGATCTCGATAAGAGAAGGTCCATCTCCGGTTATGTTTTTACTGCAGGTGGGAATACCGTTAGCTGGAAATCGAGTCTTCAACATGTCGTAGCACTGTCCACTACCGAATCAGAATACATGTCATTAACTGAAGCAGTCAAAGAAGGCATATGGCTGAAAGGTTTGGTTGGAGAACTTGGCTTCAAGCAGGAAGCAGTCATTGTGTGGTGTGACTCTCAAAGCGCCATTTGTTTGTCCAAGAATAATGTCTTCCACGAGAGGACCAAGCACATAGACGTCAGACTTCACTTCATTCGGGATTTGATAAATCAAGGAAAGCTGAAGGTAAAGAAGATTGCAACAGAGCACAATCCGGCAGACATACTTACTAAGGTAGTTCCTATTACTAAGTTCAAGCAAGCCTTATACTTGCTTGGGCTAACTGATGTCTAAGACATCAGGAACAGGGGATCACTAGAACTCAAGATGGAGTACAAGAGAGAAGGTGGGACTGCATACACTGATCATGAGGTGGAGAATTGTGGGATTATAAACACTCCGTCATGTTCATGTATGCGGGGAAGGAGAATAGCAACAAGTAAGGAGTCTCTTATCCAAAGAGAGGCTCAGGATAAGGTTCATTATAAAATGTACCGGGTTGGGTATTGGATGGAATAACCGGAAGGGATTTGGGCTGATTTATGAAAACCATGTAAAGGGTATAAGTTGGGTCTAAATCGGGTTGGGTAGATAAAATTCATTCACTTTTCATTTTTGTACTTTTGCTTTTCTCTCTCTCACCTCGGTGGTTCTTCAAGAACTGAGGTGAATCTCTCTTGTGTAAAAAGTCTTGGATAAAGTTCTAGTGATCTAGCTCGGAACCGTAAGGTTTCGACCGTGAGTAGGATCGAATTCACCCAGCGATCCGAACACGTAAATCTCGTGTGTCTTTCTTTAGTTTTCTGTTCATCTTGATCTGAAGTTTGGTTTTGGTTTCGAACGAAGAATCGGAGAGTTCTGTCGGCATTGGCTTCACACCGGACTTTCAAACCGGCCCGATTCGAGTCCGAAACCCGATTTGAGTCCGGCCCGAAAACCCGATTTTTTCGGACCAAAAAACTTTGGCGCGAAGCCAGCTATTTTTTAGAATGGACCGGACCGAGCTTCGGATATCGGGCCCAAATTGACACCCCAATGGATGAATAGAGATGTTGCATTATGTCGCCCGCCCGTATACGATATCTTTATATCCTGTAATCTTTTTTATTAATATCCATATAGTCTCTCCATTTATTCTCTATTAATATCACTGTATTCTCTCCATATAATTTCTCTATTAACATATATGTACTTTAATTTTCCATAAATTTAAAGATTTCCTCTCTGTATATAATCATTTATATTTCTTATTTGTTAATAATAACTTTTTAAATCATAATTAAATTGATAATATATCTGTAGCATAACGTAATACTACCATGAAGTCATTATAAACGCACGAGTTATTGTCCAACGAGTTGGGCCATGATCCGTTCTCACACGGCCCATTTGTAAGGCCCATTTGTAAGGCCCAATGTGTAATGGACAGTGTAACGAGTCGAGCCCAAATCTCAGATAAAGAATGTCAAGTTCACCATCATCTCGCCCGATGGTCGTTTCCACTCCCGTGTCGAAACTTCTTAGATCGGACGATCTGACGCCGATCGCTGAAGAATCAGTTTCCTAGCTCCTGATTTCCAGTTTCTCTCCCGCTGAAGGTTTCTTCTTCGTACTCTAATCGAATCCGTTGAAATTGATGCCAGTTTAGATTACAGCAGAGGGTTGTTGGTTTTTGATGAATTCGTTTCCCAGATCCTTCTGACTTCTGCTCTATAGATTCGGCAGACTTGTATCTGAATTTCATGTTTGAAGAAGAGTTTCGAACATGGGTGCTGAAGAAATTTGACGAATCTCTTTTCTGTTAGGTTTTTTTGGGTCGATAGGCGAAACCAGAGATTTTGACTGAAGGCCACTTGAGCACGATTGATCACAATCGCCAGACCTGTCACTGTATCTGAAAAACAGATAAGAGTTTTTTCCACATTAAGCGAAAAGAACGAAGCAGGCGTTTCTTCTTCTTCATCTTCTGGTTTCCTAACTCGTGTAAGCCCCTCTTACTCAAATCCGGTATGGGTTTCTCGAAATTCTTCGATCTGCTGTTTTATCCTACTAGATTTAGCCGTTCATGTTGGCGATTTTCGTTCTGGATCTGATACTTTGAGGCGACTTTTGCAATTTTGGACTGATCGCGTCTGTTTATTTTAAGCTGTATGTAGCGATTTTTCTGAAGGTTTCTCGTCGTCTTTGCTGAATTCTTTATTTCTTTTCCTCAATAGTTTTGTTATTCAAATCTCCGGTTGGGACTTTTTAGGGTTATGTTTGATATGAATGTAAGGGATTAAGTCACTGGATCAGTAACCCAATTAGAGGACGGTGGCCTTTTTTTCTCTTGGGCTGAGTAAATCATAGTTTTTGTTGTTAGTCTCTTATGCTATTTTATGATTGAGGATCTATCTTAGGAATTAGATTCTGATGCTAATAAACCTTTGTTTAGGGCATAGCTGAAGAGATTTTGATACTTCTCCGATTAGGCTATGGCCATGGTTCTGTGTTACTGTTTCTGTTGCCCATTATGTCTCTAGTGCAATGGGGGTTTTGGAGGGGACTTTCGAGTTCCATTTAATAATGTGAACCTCTGTTGCTGGAAAATGATTTAAACTTTTTATCGAGGTGAAATATGCTCTAAATCGTAAAAGAACGATTCTTTGGTATGACGGCTGTGGATTTTCTTATTGTTCCTCAGTTGTATTATTTGTGACAATCTTCTTAACTACAATAATTACGAAGACACATCTTTTCCGAAAGCATGATGAATGGGGGCAGCTACTTGAAACTATGTTATTCTTCTCTTGTTACTTCATCACTTGCTTCGTAGCTAGCTAGTCTTATTCATTCTCGTATCTTTAGAAAAATACATGTCACAGTTACTTTCTTCAATACCTGTTTACTTGAAACAAAATTTCTGTGCTACTTCTATCTATTTCCTTAATAATCGGTCAGACTTTATTTAATTGCAGGTTGAGGTTATGACCGTTTTCCCGTGACTGGCAAACTTAAAGGTCTAGAGAATAATGGGGACAGAAAACCCGGGCTACCCAATTTTTCCTGCTAGACCTACTTCTTCCCCGTTTGCGTCTTCTCCGCCTTCAGCGATGACCCAACAATCAGGTCGACCTGCTGGCGGATCCGAGACTTCCGGCTTTAGGCCTTTTCCACCATCCACGTCCCAAAATACGAGGCCTCCTGCTTCTGGACTTGTCCCACCATCTGTTGCTCCAAATACCATACCTTCCCAGGCTCCAGTACCTCCTTTTGGATCACGAATGCCATTGTCTCGACCCCCTCCACCCCCATCCGTATCGTCTCCTCCTACAGCATATGCTCCACCTGGTGGTGGCCCTTTTCAGCGGTTTCCCACCCCGCCGTTCCCAACTGCTGCACAAACTCCTTTGCCAGTGCCACCAATGGGTCCACCTCCAGCTCAAACTCTTCCTGGTCAATTATCATCTCCTCCTGTTTCTTTTCGGTCGCAGCAACAAGTGCCACCTGTACCAATAGGATCTTCCTCGCAGAGTTTTACTTCGGGGCTACCTGGTGCAAATCCTTCTCAACCTACTGGAGATTCACAGTCCTTTGCTCCTAGGCCTGGTTTCCAGCAGCCGTTTCCTCCCACCAGTTCTTATTCCGGCGGTGCTCCTTTGCCTGGTTTTCCTAGCAAGCAGATTAATGCAATTCCTCCAGCTCCTGCAGTGTCATTCTCTCCCACAGCACAGAGTGTTGTCTTAGCACCTCCATCTACTGTGGCCCCATATCCGCCTCACCAAGGAGGTTTTGCCCAGCCCCCAGCTCTAGCGGCACAGCAGAACCTGCACCCTGGTTATGCATCCCCTATTAGTAATGTTCAAGGCTTGGTAGAAGATTTTAGCTCCTTGTCCGTTGCATCAGTTCCTGGATCCCTTGAGCCGGGGCTTGATCACAAGTCATTCCCCAGACCTTTGGATGGTGACGTGGAACCAAATTCATTTGCTGAAATGTATCCCATGAATTGCCCTTCTAGGTATCTACGGTTGACTACCAATGCTATACCGAATTCTCAGTCATTGGCTTCAAGGTGGCATTTAACTCTCGGAGCTGTAGTTTGTCCGCTTGCAGAGGCTCCTGAAGGGGTTAGTATTTTCTGGAAAATAATAAAGTTTTGGAAATCCTTTTATCTTATATAATGTTGTGTTTACTTGTACAAAATTTAGAACTTTCCTGTTAATATCATCGATTTAACTTTTTTATCTGTTCAGGAGGAGGTACCGCTTATTGATTTTGGTTCGACTGGCATCATTCGCTGCAGAAGATGCCGTACCTATGTGAATCCTTTTGTGACTTTTACTGATTCTGGACGAAAATGGCGATGTAATATCTGCGCATTGCTAAATGATGGTAAGTTATTTAATAGTAAATATATTGATAAGGTTTCAGTAACAGAAAACCCAGAAAGGAACAAGAACAAGAACCAATATGTTGTATTGATTTCCTGAAAACCAAATACAACCCCAAGAAGTTGATTATTGTGAGCTTCTCTCTCACCCCTCTCCTTACACATTCAAATGAGCAAAAGCATAAACCCTAATACCCAATCTGCACGTCTAATATAAGCCACCCACAACAAACCTGCTGAGCTGGCACTAAGAGGATATACCCACATATAAAATGTGTTGATACAATGAACCTAATCCAACATCCCTCACGTAACCAGACCTCCATCAATTGCTCCACCTTCTGCAGATCTTCTTTCCCTGTTACTCTTGTTTCCTTTATGCCCATGACCCTTCTTTTGGCTCCTCTTGATATCCTATCATATATATTCTGCTAACTCAAACAAGCCATACAAATACTTGCTGTTTGAACATGCCTTCTAGATGATGTTGTACTTTCTTTTCTTTATTTTGTCTTTAGAGTTTGTTTCTCCTGTCTGTGTGGGTATGACTGTTTGTGTTTATTTGTTTGTTGAGATTTTCCTCAGGTTTTCCATAGTTCCATCTGTTGGATTTTTTTACTCTTAAATAGATCAGGTGAAAGCTGTCTGAACTTTTGTTCATGTTTGGTTTCCTTGCTGTCAATTCTCTTTTTTAATTCTACCTAGGCATTTGGTTTTCTATGGTTTCTATTCGTGGTGATGTTCTCTCTACATGTTAACTAGCGTAAATCACTTAATCTCTGATGCCTTTGTCATATTTATTTCAAGTATATGTTTTATTTGTGGTGTAATGTGGATAACAATGCCCATGCATCAACTTTTTTGTTCAGTGTCAGGTGAATACTTTTCCCATTTGGATAGCACTGGCAGAAGAATTGATTTGGATCAGCGACTTGAGCTTACAAAGGGTAGTGTTGAGTTTATAGCTCCAACCGAATATATGGTGCGGCCTCCAATGCCACCAATATACTTCTTTCTCATCGACGTTTCAATTTCAGCTATTAGAAGTGGAATGCTTGAGGTAAGCACTTTGGTTTCTAACATGTCACTTCTTGATAACATTTCTTATATCAGGTTATTTTCATTACGTCTATGTGCATTATCGCTCTATATTTACTTGACGCCAAACTAGCTGATAATGTCTTAACACTTTTTTGTGTGAGATAAGATGCTGATAATGAATGAATACGACACTTGTTTTTCAGCTAGCTAAGATACTCTTTCTCTGTTGGCTGCAAGTGGGCCTAAAATTTTGGATTTTGCACTCATGTTTATGTTTTGCTTCTCAGGTTGTAGCTCAAACTATTAAGTCTTGTCTGGATAAGCTGCCCGGTTACCCCAGAACTCAAATTGGATTTATTACGTATGACAGTACAATACAATTTTATAACATGAAGGTAAGGGGCTTGTGAATATATAGAAATTTTGTTCTGACACACTAAATCTTCCATCCTGCATAATTTGTGGACCTTGCCTTTGCAGTCTTCTCTGAGCCAGCCACAAATGATGGTGGTTTCTGATCTAGATGATATATTTGTCCCATTACCGGATGATCTCCTTGTCAATCTATCCGAATCAAGAAGTGTAGTGGAAGCGTTTTTGGAGAGTCTGCCTTCGATGTTTCAAGATAACATTAACGTGGAATCTGCTTTTGGTCCAGCCCTCAAAGCTGCATTTATGGTTATGGTGCGTCCCTATCATGCCATGACATGCGATGCCATGTTGAGCTAAAATCACGTACTAGAAGTTGATGTTCTGTGTCCTTGGTTGTTTCTTTATTGGAAATTCTCATTGCTCTCAGTGAAGCTCATACTGTTGTTGATTTGGTTTTCTCGCAATAATTCAGAATCAACTTGGGGGGAAGTTGCTAATTTTCCAGAACACTTTGCCTTCTCTTGGTGTTGGACGCTTGAAGCTGCGGGGAGATGATCCTCGTGTTTATGGAACAGACAAGGAGTATGCTTTAAGAATACCAGAAGATCCCTTCTATAAGCAAATGGCTGCTGATTGTACTAAGTTCCAGATAGGAGTGAATGTCTACGCATGCAGTGATAAGTACATTGATATTGCCTCCTTAGGTATGTATATGAACGCTATTATTTGCATGGCTCGGTGTTGATACGTAGAGTAGCTTCTAAGCCCTTTCCCTTTTAGTTGATGTTGCTCGTATGCTAGATATCGTTGCTCTGTATTCTGTATTACACAATAGGACAAGATATGTAATAGTTTTCAATTTAGTAATGAAGAATTGATCTGTGCAGGGACTCTGGCGAAATACACTGGAGGTCAGATGTACTATTATCCAGGTTTTCAATCATCTGTGCATGGAGATAAGTTGAGACATGAGTTGGCCAGAGACCTTACGAGAGAAACTGCCTGGGAGGCAGTTATGCGGATAAGATGTGGAAAAGGTTCGCTTTATGATAAAAAAAAATATGTCGTCTATTTGATCCAGTGTGACAATTCACTGTTATGCTAATACAATACATTCGATCTTCTATCATTTCTTTTGGTGGCAGGGATCCGATTCACATCATACCATGGGAACTTCATGCTAAGGTCTACTGATCTCATTGCTCTTCCTGCTGTCGACTGTGACAAAGCATATGCAATGCAGCTGTCTCTTGAAGAGACATTGCTGACAACTCAGACTGTCTATTTCCAAGTCGCATTGCTGTATCCTTTAATAGCGAATATATTCAATTTTTAAAAAGCAGAAAACGATGCTTAATTTTCACTCAGGCTGGGACAAATCATCAGCTACGTCAAGATTTCTTTAACATAATTTAAGATATACGGCATCTTGTGGAGAGAGGCGTATCAGGGTACACACAGCTGTTGCACCAGTGGTAGCTGATCTTGGAGAGATGTATCGACAAGCAGACACTGGTTCCATTGTCTCTGTATTTACCAGATTAGGTATATGATAAAGGGAAAGTTTTCCATAATATGTTGTTACCTTGAATAATATATAATCATAGTTGGCTGTTTGCAGCAATCGAGAAAACGTTATCATCAAAGCTGGATGATGCCCGGAATTTGGTGCAACAGAGGATTGTTAAAGCCCTCAGAGAATATCGAAATCTTCATGCAGTGCAGCATCGGTTGGGGTCGAGATTAATATACCCAGAGTCGTTGAAATTCTTGCCTTTGTATGCTATGGCACTTAGTAAGTCAACTCCTCTTCAAGCTGGTCATGCTGATGCTTCTCTCGATGAGCGCTGTGCCGCTGGCTTCACTATGATGGCAATGCCGGTTAAAAAGTTATTAAAGCTTTTGTACCCTAACTTAATCCGGGTTGATGAGTGGCTCTTAAAGGTTTGTCTACTTTCTGAGTACATTGTCAAAACTTACATACAGAATGAAATTATCATATTTTTCACGAAATCTTAAGTATCATTTTTGCAGCCATCTGTAGGCGAAAATGACGGCTTCAAGGACGTCTTGAAGAGGTTACCTCTGGCGGCCGAGAGTTTGGACTCCAGAGGTCTTTACATTTATGACGACGGTCTCCGCTCTGTCTTATGGTTTGGTAGAATGCTTTCCCCCGACATCTCCAAAAATCTTCTCGGGGCCGACTTTGCAGCTGAGCTTTCAAGGGTACGCGTTTTATCAATGGCATCTCTACTTGTGCAAGTATTCTCGTTAATTTATATGCATAAGCATCGGAATTTGCATGTGATAAGATTTGAAGTGAAGTGGTTCTGTTATGGGTTTGTGCGGATGCCGCCATTGATGATGATGCCTGTGGTTTAACCTCATACTAACTGAGTTCCCCTGCTTCCATTAAGCAGAAATGAACTTGCCCTTACTCCCAGTAATCTTTTCTTTTTAATATTCCCTTCATTGCTTTTAAAGATGCCGTTTTTTTTGGTGTTTAGGTGACACTGAAAGAGCAAGAGAACGGAATGTCGAAGAAGCTTACGAGGTTGATAAAGAAGCTGAGAGAAATCGATCCTTCATATTATCGAATGTGCCATCTCGTGAGACAAGGAGAACAGCCTCGAGAAGGGTTCCTTCTCCTCAGAAATCTCGTCGAGGACCCGATGGGCGGTTCCACTGGTTACGTCGATTGGATCATGCAACTTCACCGCCATGTCCAGCAGAATTCCTAATAGCTTTATTATACAGGTAACAGACCATTATATCCAATGTTATTGCATTGCATATAGCTTGTCAAAATCAGATTCAACACATGTCTTGACGCATTGTCTGTTTCAGATAATACCCAATGTGCAATGCAATTGCATTGTGTTTGGAAACCATGTCCAGGGTCTTGTAGGCAAATATACGGCCATTGAAGAAAACCTTTTGAGCTCTTCTTCTGTCTTGTTCTTGGGTCGTTGCAAGTGTTATGCGATTAAGGGGGGTACAGATTCAGAATGCTTTGGTGATTCTTCATTGTGTTGTTGGCAAGATTTTTCTTTTTTTGTGGATTCTTCATCTTACAAAATTTTGCAGTTGTTTTTTTTTTTACTAAACCTGTATGATTCTCCAGTTTTTTTTGGGGGATGTCAAATTAGATTCGGTTTTGTTATTGAGAGATTTGGGATATTACTTGGAAGGAAAGATTCAGTTTCAGCAAGTATACATTGGTTCCATAAAAGAAGGGTCAAGAGGTATCCATGCTTTTCGTTAGGGTTGGTGATTTCGGACTATCCAACTTCAAATATTTGTCTTTTGGGTTCGGGATTCGAAACCTGTCGTTGGCATTCATGGATTATCCGGTCGAAGAGATGGTGAGGCGAATGTGAACCGAGATGGGGAAAGAGACGATGGTGATGAGGACCGAAGAGCGAGTCGAAATCCCTAACCTTTCTCCATCTTTTTTAGAAAAGATCGACTCGTCCTCGCCTAATAACCCTAATCTCCGTTCTCGTCCTCTTGTTCTTTTGCACCCTAATCCCGATGACAATGACTACCCGCAAAACACGGGTAATCGTAGGATGAAAGCTTAACTAGAACCCAAAGGTCGGAATCGAATCGGATTCCAGTACTCGGAAATCCGGGCGTCCATGCCTATCTATCCCTACTTTTTTCACATACCATACCTCCTTGAACTGAACAATCTTGATACCGATCCCAAGAACCAGAAGGCATCAACTGTGCAAATGATCCTCCATCTTTATTTACCACCTATCCGGATTTCTTCTATTTCAATGTTGGTAGGAGTTACAAAAAAGGAAAAAAAAAAAGAATCACAAAGGGAAATCATGTCTGCGGTTTATGAACTTTTAAACCATTAGGACGACAATCATTTCTACGAAGATTCTGTTCTACTGTCGGACACAACCTGAGTCGGGTTTGTGCCAGATTCTAACTCGAGAGCTGACTCATCTGATCGGAAAATCGCATCAGATGGAATGTTGATTCCGGCAAAACCAACCATTACAGCCAGAGCTCCGATGTAATCCGTTAGGGTCGGAATGTTACCTGTAAAGGTGTCTACAATGGCTGCCAATGGAACCTGGATTGTAAGCCCGGCCGTCGCTACAGTTGTGGTCGTCAAAAGAACAGCCTTTGCCCATAGATAATCGCTGAGCACATTGTCTAGCAAACCTTAAAAAAAAAGAAAGATGAGACGTTTTCTGATCTCTTATTCAGTGTGTTTGAATGACAAATCGGCAGAATCATAAATCTCCTATGTAGATATTATCTTACTCTTACCGAAAACACATTCATGCAACATCTGATTACATTCTTTCGTACTACTCTCAGTTTTCTTACCATTCCTCTTTCATCAATTGCTACTGTTACAAAAACTACCCTACCCGAGTCACCAAGTATCGGAAGTTTCACAAATAAAAGCACAAACCATGGATTTTCACCTGCTAAACCGAGAGACTGGGACTGTGAATTTTGAATGTATAAACCTTTTTCACATACCTTTCCCGACAACTAGACCAAACTGCTTCCATGTCAGCACATTGAAGCGTTCTCGCCTCGTGAAGTTGAGTACGAGGGCGACTGGGAGGAAAATGAAGAAATTGAACAGACCAAGAAACCCGAGAAATTGGGCCATACTGACACCACCACCTTCCTTTTCTTCATCATCCGAAAGATTTTTGCGTATAAGAGTGATATAGACAGCATACAATGCAGCTGAAGCCAGAGAGAGAATATCACCGAGTAGAGGGTTTTTGGCTGTTGCAGTTGTTGTGTTGGACTTTGAGTCACCCATGCTGACAATTATCGTTCCCGACATGCAAAGAAGAACGCTGAAGAGTTTCAACCATGTGAACTTTTCGCCCAAGAATGCTAGAGATACCAAAAATGTGAACAAACTTGATGCGCTGCTTAATATGGTATTTGACTGCACTTACAAACGGGAAAAGCCTCCTGTCATTATGCTATATATACATGTATATATATATATATATGTATACATACACAGAGTCTAAGCATGGACCAGAAAAGAATGAGCAGAAGAAGATAAGGGACAATAATCCATACCGTCACTGTCGTATACTTCAGAGAGAGATTGAAAGTCAGCTGTGCAAGAAACCAAAACGGGCAGACCAAAAGACTAGCTTTCGCCACTCTCGTTCGTGTCCAACGACCCTTTTCATCCAACCCTTTGTTACAATTTCCAGTGACTTCGCCATTACCATCAACATTACTTTCAACCTCGGGCTCTACTTTCACGAGTTCCAATTCAATTCCATCATCGTTCTGACTAACTGTCACCTCTTCCACAGCCGTCGAAACTAAACCGTCTTGTCCAAGAAGAACGGCCTTCTCCGATTCTACCAACTCTCTCAAATGTGAGCTCCTATTTCTTCTCCAGAACAGTAAACTTCCATAGGTATCTTCCAAATACCTCCCAGTCTCAAAAATGGGAAGGTAAATCATGAACAGCGAATTACAGATGAAAGTAATCAAGAACGGTGACACGCCCGCATCGACCACCGACTGAACGACAAAACTGGCAGCAATCCAAATCGTAGCGACGGAAAATATGTATGTTAACCCTAATACCCATCTCCAAACCTCGCTAGACATGATCCCTTTCCGACCCAATAAATCAGAAATCAGACTCACTGAAACGCGTCAAGGTCACGTTTTTCGACCTAACGCTGCAAAACCCATGTCTAAAAAATTCTTCGAACGCGAAATTTCAGATGCCCATCTACAGAATAAGCCGATCAAAAGTGTGAAAGACCTGAGAAAATCAATTCACAAATGGAAAAAAAAAAGCAATTGATCATCTTCTGAAATCTACATTGGTTTAGATTTGAAAAGAGATACCAGTACGAAAGGATTATACCTTCACTGCGAGAAGAGATTGAAATCGCGCATCACAAAACTGTTCTCAGGCGATCGGCGATCGGCGTCACGGTTAAAAGATTCAAAACGGAGTCCAGACGAGAATTCCGTTTTCTATTATGGGGCCTCTGTTCTCAAGCCCAAATTGTTTAGCCCAACATTCAAACGTAAAGAATTCCCGCATTTATAAAAATAAATAAAAAAATTCGCACGCTTTTTTAATACAGTAATTAATTAGGTCATTTGATTTATTGGGAAGGAATCTTATTTTAATCTTTGATCCGAGTAACCAAGGGGTGGTGGCGCAGTTGGCTAGCGCGTAGGTCTCATAGCTTCTGGGTGATCCTGAGGTCGAGAGTTCGAGCCTCTCTCACCCCAACACTTTTTAATAAATTTTTAAATTTATTTTTTTTAATATATTGTTCGGCAAAACCCTAATGTTCTCCGATTGCCGCCCTCTTTTCACTTGCATTCTCTCAACCTTGTTCCTCTGTTTTGTTTTCTTCTCTGTTCTTCCTCTTATTATCTTACAGCGGCTTAAAAATGGTGAAGAGGAGCAAAAGTAAGCTTAAAACCCTTGAATTGAATTTGTGTTCTACGTTTTTCTCATGGCCGAATTCTATATCTTCTCTTCTTCTTTTTTGTGTTGTGATGGAAATTCATGGTTTTTTATGGCGGCGATTTTGCAGAGAGCAAGAGCAAGAGGGTAACGTTGAAACAGAAGTACAAGATCCTGAGGAAGGTGAAGGAACATCACAAGAAGAAGGCGAAAGAGGCTAAGAAGACCGGGCTTAATCGCAAGTCTAAGGTCGAGAAGGACCCAGGTATCCCAAATGACTGGCCTTTCAAGGAACAGGAGCTCATGGCCCTTGAAGCTCGCCGTTCGCGTGCCCTCGAGGATCTCGAGCAGAAGAAAGCCGCTCGCAAAGAGAGGGTATATCCTGTTTTCTCTTCTTTGATCCTCTTTTCTATACCACTTTGGAGTTCATAACTAGGTTTTAGGTTGGGATTTGTTCGTAGGCATCGTCGATGATGTTTTTGGTGTTTGAACTTGTACGATTGTTTGTTAAGTTTTGGATTTTTTTCTCTTGAGATTAGGGTTTCAAGAGATAAAGAACCATTGAGAGTTATGCTTCAGCTCTTAAAAATTTCGAATCATATTTTGCTTGTGTGGTTGTATCTAATCTCTCTTTGTCCATCTACTCAGGCCCAAAAGAGGAAACTAGGTTTGCTCGAGAGTGAAGATACCAAGTCGGAAGAAGGAAAAGAAGGATTTGGAGAAGGAAAAAGCACGAACGCCTTTGCTAGAGCCGTTAACGTCCGGGGTGAGTTTGTGGTGAATGAGCATTGTGGGTCTTTCCTATCTGCCATTTCCTATTTACTGATTTCAATTACTTTGCAGATAACTCGGAGAGGGCTTTCTACAAGGAACTTGTTAAAGTCATTGAACTATCCGATGTCATTTTGGAAGTTCTCGATGCCCGTGATCCCATTGGTACTCGCTGTGTTGACATGGAGAAGATGGTGATGCAATCTGGTCCCGATAAGCACCTCGTGTTGTTGTTGAACAAGATCGGTAATATGTGCTTCCCTTCACCTGGTAAAACGTATAGGATTCCATGTTTGTTTCCAGAGCTTGTGATTGACCCAGCTGTTTGTGATTCGTTCTCTTGATTAGATCTTGTTCCCCGGGAGGCTGTTGAGAAATGGCTGAAATATCTTAGGGAAGAATTGCCAGCTGTTGCCTTCAAGTGTAGCACCCAGGAACAAAGATCAAATTTAAGCTGGAAATCATCTAAGACATCAAAACCGAGCAATCTTTTGCAGACAAGTGATTGTCTTGGAGCTGAAACTCTAATCAAATTGCTGAAAAACTATTCAAGAAGTCACGAGGTTGGTTTTTTTATGACTTACCGGTCAAGTGACCATAGCAACGTTCTCGTGAGTAATTGAATTCTTCCTCTGCTGATCTTTGGCAGATAAAAAAATCTATTACAGTCGGTATTATTGGACTGCCTAATGTCGGGAAGAGTAGTCTGATCAACAGCTTGAAGAGATCTCATGTGGTCAATGTTGGGGCTACTCCAGGGCTGACCAGGTCCTTGCAAGAGGTTCAGTTGGACAGAAATGTAAAGTTGCTGGATTGTCCTGGTGTTGTTATGCTCAAATCTTCCGGAAATGACGCTTCTGTAGCTCTTCGAAATTGTAAAAGGATCGAGAAGTTGGATGACCCAGTTAGTCCAGGTATTTGGGATAAACCAGAGAAAACAAATCTTTTAATTTGGACTAGTTAGGGTTATATTCTCTGTGAGCTAATGCACAATTATTTTTCTTGATGGGAAAACTTAGTGAGGGAAATTCTCAAGCTTTGTCCTGCAAATATGCTGGTGACCCTCTATAAAATCCCGGGCTTCGATTCAGTTGATGATTTTCTCTATAAAGTCGCAACTGTAAGGGGCAAGCTTAAGAAGGGCGGTCTTGTGGATATTGAAGCTGCTGCTAGGATCGTTTTGCATGACTGGAACGAGGGTATGCTTATAATTTTCAGTTAAAATCTCCACTGTAAAGACCTGGCAACAAATTCTTGTTTGACATGAAATCATCTACAGGTAAAATTCCGTATTATACAATGCCGCCAAAGAGGGATCAAGGAGAAAACGCAGAGGCTAAGATTGTTACGGAATTGGGGAAGGAGTTCAACATTGACGAGGTTTACAGCGGGGAATCATCATTCATCGGGAGTCTGAAGGCTGTTAATGATCTCAATCCTGTTGAAGTTCCTCCAAGTTGCCCTCTCACTTTTGATGAAACAATGCTCGAGGTTTGTGAAATTTTCTTGATCTTTTTTAGTTCAGTCTAAGCTACTGGGCTTAAGAAAATTGGTCCAATCGTGATTAAAACTATGTTACCGAACCACAGGATGGATTTCAGACTGAGACCCGACAACCGGGCCATGGTGGTGAGAGTCTAGAAGGTATAGTTGATCGAGACGGGGATGAGTCTATGGGCACGGAAGAAGATCATGGAGGAAAGTCCAAGGACAAATCCGAGGCGAGCAAGCAGAACGAGAAGCTATACTCAGCGGAAGGAATGCTTAATACGAAAATGCAGAGAGCGGAGAAGAAGAAGCGGAGGAAGAAAGCAAGTAAAAGCTCTGGTGATCTCATGGAGGATGATGATAATGAGGACTATGATTTCAAAGTGGATTACGTGAAGAACAAGGCATCGGCCATGGATGAAGGAGAGGAAGATGAAGAGCAAATCATTGGCAAAGTTCCAATGGAAGGATTGTTGGAGGAGGAGTGATTCTTGTGAAACCTCTATTGATTTAGAAAATTTTGGTGGGTGGTTCAGAACTTCGTGGCTTTAGGGTTTTGGTGGTTTATTTGATTGTTCAGGTTGCTTTCTCTGCAAGCAATGATAGAAACAGGGAAAGGGCTTTGAGCAATCTTAAACAAATGTTTTACTTCATCAACAAGTAATGAAACCGAAAGTCTTAAGGTTAAATAAATATTGATTAAAAAAAAGGATATTCTTGGATTATCTTAAAATAAAACTGATAAATTGGTGAACATATGTTATATTATTAATTTATCCAAGATTTTTATGTTCGTAAGCTCTAACCAACTATAGCTTAAATTTTCAAAGTGTTGTGAAAACTCCATTTTTACAATATATATAACAAGATTTGCCGATTTGGAATTCTTCGAATGGGTATGAATTTTGGTGGGTGGATGCCCAATAGCTCGTCTAAAAGGTTTTTTTAATCTTTTTTCAAATATTTTCCATTCAATATTATTTTTATACTTAATTCTATTTTAGATAAATTGGTTTTAAAAAACGTACACCCAACCCGTTTTAAAATTATATACAATTCCGCTATGCTATAATTGATTTAATATTGATTTCAAATAAAGAAATGGGCATGTAAAACTCCATCTAGAACAGATTTTGCTTAATTGTGAAGGGAAAAGGGACATCTCCTCCTTTGAATGGATTCAACGTGCGACCAAACCCACCAAAGGAAACAACACTTTTATCAACCCTATTTTTATGATATTATTATCAAATCACAACATAGTTTCTGTTTATATATTAAAAAAAGGCTTTACCTTCATTAAATATAGAAATAGATAAACACATAAAATCTTAGTTCTACATAGATAAAAAATGTCACAGATAATAAATAAACGGGGTGGCTTCAAATTCAATGGTTATTTTATATAAAGGATAATAATACATATAAAAACTTCAAACTTGTGTGTTTTGACAAATAAAACTCTAATTTTGTTTGATTTTGCTTGGGGAAAAAAAACCCAAAGTTTCAGTTTTCGTGGTAATTTTTTTTTACCTCATGGTAAGTTCATAACCTATTTGACAGATACAAACATATATGTGTGGGCCCATGAAAAGTAAACAAATTGAATGCAATGTGTGAAATATTCAATCTTTCAAAGGTCGTACAAAGAAAAATCAAAGGGATACGGCGTGGCATTTCCGTTATTCCGTATGACCTCGCAGGCCAAATTTGACAATGCATTGCCATTTAAATATGATCTCTCTCTCTCTCTTTCTCTCTCTAGAAATCAAATCTCTTCTCTGTTCATTTGCAGCTCCGTTCCGTCGCATCAGAGTTCATATTTTCTTGCTTGCGTTCTTCGTCTTCCTCGTCGGCTAGGGTTAGGGTTTTTTTGTTGATTTTGGAATTCGATGGGGCAACAGTTGCTGATCTACAGTTTCGTGGCTCGAGGCACGGTGATTTTGGCGGAGTACACGGAGTTCACCGGAAACTTCACCAGTATAGCGGCGCAGTGTCTTCAGAAGCTTCCTTCCTCCAACAACAAGTTCACCTACAACTGCGACGGTCACACCTTCAATTACCTCGTCGATGACGGCTTCAGTATTGCCCTCTCTCTCTCTCTATCTCTCTCTTTCTCTGCATATTTGATGAGTCTGCTTTTGGGCATGTTGATATTCATTCTTTCGCCTTAGTTGCTTTTTTTTATATGATCTGCTGTTGTCTTTTTATCTGATTGATATTGCTATGTTCTTGGATTTGTCAAATGGATGTTTCGCATAGAAACGATGTTGGTTGTTGTCTTCGATGCGGCGCTATTCTTGTCGGATCTGTTGGTAATAACTGCTCTTGTTTTTGACGGAGGGGTGGAGAACATGAGTTTTGGTCTTCTTATTGTTTCACTTGCTCACTTGCTCCGATTGCTTCTTTCTGGGTGGTTTCGATTGGAATTTGAGTTATTGCTTTGCTATTTCTTGCCGGGTTTGGATTAAACTTTCATTTGTTTTACCAGTAAAGCCCGGTCGGTCTCCTGCGTTATGATCATGTATAACTGGAACTTGTTTGATATGGTAAAAATGAAAGGTAAATCGTGTATTGGCTGGGTCAGAATGAGAAACTAATTCGGGTACAAGCTAAAGGGAAGCTCTATTTATGATGCCCTCTGTCTGCTGTCTGCTCTTGATGAGCTTTGAGGAAAGTTCCTTGTGTTGCTATTATCTCATAATATTTTATTGGATGTATTTCCTTTTATGTCATCCTTGAATGAAGTGGTGCCCCTTCAATCGGTGTGTAACTAGTTTCCGCCATATTCACCCTTTCTCCTTATTGATCGTCCTATGGCTAACACTCTGTTCAATATTGTAGCTTACTGTGTTGTCGCGGTTGAGTCTATTGGTCGGCAGCTTCCAATTGCGTTTCTTGAGCGAGTGAAGGAAGAGTTTACCAAAAGATATGGTGGGGGGAAAGCTTCTACCGCCACTGCAAACAGTCTGAACAAGGAATTTGGGTAATTCATGTGTTTCGTGAGTTATATCTCTCTGGCACATCCAAAATTTTCTTTGTACATCGTGGTTCAGGTCTAAGTTGAAGGAGCAGATGCAGTACTGTGTGGATCATCCGGAAGAGATCAACAAGTTGGCTAAAGTCAAAGCTCAGGTTTCAGAGGTGAAAGGGGTTATGATGGAGAACATTGAGAAGGTATGACACAACATCATTCAGGTTTTTAGACATGAATCTTCCAACTTCCATTGAAAGAGAATTAGTGTTTGTTTTAGTATTCGGCATTCTGCTATATTATTGTGTTCCAGGTCCTTGATCGTGGAGAGAAGATCGAGATTCTGGTGGACAAAACAGAAAACCTCCGATCTCAGGTAAGTCAAAAGCTCAAAGATTTTGTTAAGCCTCGATAGGAACTGATGATTTCCTCCTTGTAGACATGAAAAAGGCAATGCCTTGATGGTAAGTTTAGACTTCATATACGTATATTCGTCTTTCGTCCCTTTGTTAGGCACAAGATTTCAGGCAGCAGGGTACGAAGCTGAGGAGGAACATGTGGCTTCAGAACATGAAGATAAAGCTAATAGTTCTCGGCATCCTCATCGCCTTGATTCTCATCATCGTTCTATCCGTTTGCGGAGGCTTCAAATGCTGAAACCAAAATCTCATCTTTTCAACCATATCCTCCGAATCATATCTCGATTCTTTTTTTTTTGTTGGTGCAAATGGATAGAGCTTCCAAGAGTAATCTCCTCCATAGTCTTTACTCTGGTAATCTCTATGATGCTTGCATTATGATGACTTAGAACTCGAAATTTAAATATCTTTGTCCCCCCTTATATATATATGAAATATAAGTGTTTCCATTTTCTAATCACATCATGTAATGGAAAAGGCAATGGTGCAGAGATGAAAGTGCAAAATCTCTAAGCAAAGCCGCTGATCTCAATGTTGTCTATAAGCCTCACTGTCCCAAACCAAGCAGCGACACAAACCACGACAGGGCTTTTGATCTTTTCCACTGGTTCCAGGGATTCCTGTTCTACAATCTGCAAGTAACCCACGTAGAATAAGACTCGCACCTTTTCTTTTTCTTTTTCTTTTTTTTTACAATTTTTATTATCAGAATTAGTCAAATTGCAACATCTGATTCAAGTTTTTTAGTTTTCTTTTGACCATGAAAACCATGCCAAATGGTCTAAACCTATACAGGAAAAAGTCTCAAGGTCAGCGTGAGTTGGGTATCTGAAATTTGGATATCCATCTACTGGTGGATGGTTATGAGTTCCGCAAAGGCGAATACCCGAGATTGGATAGTTCGACCGAGAAATCCAATCGTGCGAAACCGAGATCAGGTACACTTAAAAATTCGGGTGATACCCGACCCGTGCCTAGACCTAGTTTCTTTTACAGGACATATATATGAATGCATCTAAAAAGCAGAGACTTATTGATTGATTCCCACATGAAAGAAGACTTACTTCAACATAATCCACTCGTCCAGAGGCTCCAACAATTTCTTGGATGATCATATCTTTAAGCTCCGTGCAATTGGTTTGGCCTTCCGCTGCAAAAGCCTTGGCTTTGGCCAGTGATCTACTTATGGACAAAGCCTACACACATCAAACCGAACAGACACATTACCAGGACAGAACAGAACCTGTTCTTGCTTGTTGTTGAGAAGTATGTTGGTGGGCATCTATCTATACTTCACCTTCTCTCTTTCTTCAGCTGAAAGCCGCACATTCCTTGAGCTCATCGCAAGCCCGTCCTGTTCTCGTACTATCTCTGATCCGACTATCTTTATCCCGAAGTCGAGATCTCGTACCTATACTAGGACAGAACACGTGAGAAAAGAGCCGATCAGTGAGTGAGCATCAAAGGAGGTAACTTCTTGTCGGGTTTTGGCAGGAGGACCCCACGATAATCGATCTAAAGGAATCTCTCATTCGGAAACCTTTCCTTTCTTGCGAGCACATAAGAATGCAACTAACCGGGCATGATCTGGCAGAACAGAACTACACATTACCCTCATCATCGACCATCAAGGATCAGTAAGAAACGTGCCAAGTTCCAAAATTCAAGGAGCTAACTACTTGTCGGGTTTTGGCAGGAGGACCGAGATCATCGAGATCTTAAAGCGGTAATGATCTACTCGAATGCAACTAACTCGACATGATCTTGAAGAACAGAACTACATATTACCCTCGTCTCATCATCGACCATCAAGGATCTGTAAGAAAGATGCAAAATCCCAAAATTCTCAATTGAACTAACAATAGAACCAATCAGAAGATCGACATGGGAAGACAACAAACGAGCCTTAACCCATTTTCGGGCAAACCAAGCGGAGACTTTCCGGTGAAAGGGTTTCAAAATTCTCACCATTCTTTGTATAATCCGCCATTGCTGATAATCCTTCTTCCCAAAGAAAGCAACATCAGGCTCGACAATGTTGAAAAGCTTCGTCACGATGGTGACAACCCCTCTGAAGAACACAGGCCTGCTCTTCCCGCACAAACCCTTCTCCAGTCCCTCAACCCTAACCCACGTTTCATGCCCCAACCCGCCGTTCTCCACGCAACTCACCGCACCACCACCTCCGATTCTCCTACTTCCGGTCACGCCCTCTTCTCCGACTCCGTAGTCGTAGAGGTTTTTCGGGTGGAAGACAACGTCAACGCCGCCGGGAACCGCCGAGAGCTTGGCGAGATCGCCGGCGAAATCAGATGGGTATGTAGAAAGATCCTCCGTCGGAGAGAATTGGCCTGGGTTCACGTAAATTGACACGACGGTGACGTCGGCGAGCTTCCGAGATTCACGAACGAGCGACAGGTGACCTTCGTGGAGATAACCCATCGTCGGGACGAAGCCGATGGTCTTGCCCTGCGATCTCACAGATCTCGACCATTTCCTCATCGCTTCTTTGTCTCTGATAACCTCTGGTCCTCTGGTTTCCATCGCAGAAGAAGAAGAAGAAGAGAATCTCGTGGTCTGCTAAGGAGATGTGCCAGTTTCTGCAATTCAACGAGATTCGAATGTCCCCAAGCTTTTCACCTTGGAAAACTTCGATGACGTGGTATAATACACGTGAATTGACGAAAACACCCCGCCCCTGGAGTAAATTCGTTTTGATGACGTGGCACCAGTCTTGTCAGCCTAATGCAAGCTGCATTATAAGACCTTAGATCTGTTTTAACATTAGAAGGTCAGCGTGTCGGCTAAAGCAGAATATGTTCCTGCTTAATTAATTAATACAGTTAAAGTCAATGTAAACTTGAATTTCCCAACGATGGTATTTTCATAAAATACTGTTAATAAATTTACCAACAATGATAATTACATTACGATTTTCTTTATAGATATTTTTTTTATAATCCGAAGTAACACTTAATATTTACAAATTCGAAACTATATATTCTCCAACACCATTAACACGCAAAATTATAAACAAAACCGAATTAGTTAAAAATAATAATCAAAACCACAAATAAAATCTAAAACACAAGCATAAACGAAATAAGTATTTAACAAACCAATTGATTTCTAAAAGAAGAAATCTCCTCGAAGATTGGAAGTCTTTTGGTTTTAGACCTGCTAAAAAGAGTACGGTACTCTTGGGCCGCGATTTGGTCAACCTCGTTGACTAGGTCAGCGTCCAAGATGGTTGCCAAACCGCCATCCATGTCTTGACTTTTTCTCGGAGATAAAGCCTCCAACTCATTCAGAAGCTCCTCGGCTCGTTGCCTTGTTCTGCACTCCTCCGAACCCGAAACCCTAAACTCAAGAACATCGTCAAGATTCGATCTCGCTTCCTCGTATCTGCCACGTTTGATCAAACATATCGCCAGACTACAAGCCTTGTTCGCGTCTGGCTCGATCATCTGTGCTTTTCTGTACACTCCTTCCGCCGAAAAGTACTTCCCTTGTTGCATATACGCCCACCCCAAATTCCCCTGCCGCATCCGCGGAAAATTCGAAATATTTTCGTGGCGAGATCGCGTAAAAATCCGTAGAATTATAATCGAAACCCGAAAAGGGGTTCAAGTATTCGTACCAGCAATCTTGAAATTTCTGTTTGGACAGTGATTTGGAACTTCTTGCCGTGCGAACGAGCTGTCTTGGTGGGCTTTCCATTGAAAACCTCCCCTTGATAAATCTGCCTCAGTTTCATCTTCAGTAAATCTATCTGCTCATCGAATCTTCCACATCTCTATATATATATATATATATATATATATAAAGAACCCCCCGAAAACATTAATATATATACAAATTAATATGGCATGCATTACTTGTATACGTACATACGTATATATATATATATAGAGATATGAGGGGGACCTTGTATAAGTCGATGAGGAGGTTATCGAGGGAGTCTTGGGAGCTTTTTGAGCAGAGGAATCTGAAAGATTTGATGGCTTCGATGGCATCTTGGGTTCGGTGGAGCTGTTTCATTACCACGGCCATGTCCTTAAGAGCGCTGTCCACTCTGTCTCCTGCGTTTATCGCCTTCCAAAACCACGCTATTGCCATCTCTTGATTCTTCTCTATCAACTGCAACCATAAAGAAAAAATCATTGAACATATATATATAGTATTCATTATACACTACTACCCTTTACACATATGTACATATACACACAAACACGAACCGTGTATCACTACAAAAAAATCAGCAAATTCCAACGAATTTTCCAACGGATTTATCCGTTGGAAATTTTTCAACGGATTTTCAACGGTTTTCAACGGCATTTCAACGGTGATTTCCGTTAAAAATCCGTTGAAAATTTCCAACGGATATCCGTTGGAATTGCCCGTTGGAAATTTTTAACGGAATTTTCAACGTATTCAATTGAAAAAATTAGGGTTGAAATTTTCCAACGGTATTTCCAACGGATGTCAGTTGGAATTTTTTTTGGAAATTTAAAAAAAAATTCCAACGGAATTCCAACGGATGTCAGTTGGAAATTTTTTTGGAGATTTTTTTAAAAAAAATTCCAACGGAATTCCAACGGATGTCGGTTGGAAATTTTTTTGGAAATTTTTTAAAAAAAATTCCAACGGAATTCCAACGGATGTCGGTTGGAAATTTTTTTGGAGATTTAAAAAAAAAAATTCCAACGGATAACAGTTAGAAATTAGGATTTTAATTGAAATATATATATATATATAAATACATGTATATTTTGTATATATACATACATATATATATATCGATATATATATATATATATATTAACTATATACATACACATAATATATATATATATAAATATAAATTCGAATGTGTATATACGTAAATATATATATACATATATACATATAAATATATATATATATATATATATATGTATATGTATATATATATATATACATATAAATATTTATATACGTCTTTGAGACTATGAAAACATATTCTCTGGATGATAGTCTAACTGAAGAAGCCTTGGTCACAAAGCTCCGCACCCTTCGATGTCATCATCTTTTCTTGCATACGTCATTGAGGAACAATGCATCGGGTTGGCATATAGTCTCTCCTCTTGTATTATAGTGATACCTTTGGTATATATCATTCTGAATTTGATTGTCCAGACATTCCTAAAGTAGGATGTTTAAGGGTAGCATATACTTCTGTGAGCAATACAGCAATCATTTTGAATGGTAATGATGTATATGTGCTGAACTGTTCATGATTTGTGTCCAGTAGAAGCTTACAACAACTTTAAGCACCATTATATTGTAGATTTTAGTTCAGTTTTTGAGAAAGCTTATCTACAGGAACATGTCGTTGGGGAGAATTCGGTGAGGGGGGCCTATCGGGGTCGGAGTTGGGCCGGGGGATCGGGGTCGGGGCTGGAGGATCGGGATCGGTGCCGGGGGTCGGGATCGGGATCGGGATAGATGTCGGGCCCGGGGTCGGGATCGAGAATATATTTTGAATTTTTTGTTGGAATGTTCCAACGGATTGCGGTTGGAAATTCCGTTGGAAAATTCCAACGGATATCGGTTGGAAATTCGGTTGGAAAATTCCAACCGATAAATCCGTTGGAAATCCGTTGGAAAATTCCAACGGAAAAATTCGTTGAAATTCCGTTGAAAATTCCAACGGTTTTCCAACGGACACCGTTTTCTAACGACGAAATTCCAACGGATTTATCCGTTGGAAATCCGTTGGAAACGTTAATTTCCAACGGAAATTTGGTCATTTCCAACGGATTTGCCCGTTGGAAATGACCATTTTTTTTGTAGTGTATATATATATAACCGCAACCAGAATGATAGCAACACGAAAGCTCCTCTCGATCATTGTGACATGATTGATAGTTATATATGCGCACGTGTATATATATATAGTATACTGTGATTGTATTGTTCTTTGGCATTTCTTGTTTGGGAAGGTGAAGCGAATAACCAATGAGAGGTTGGTGCATATCGAGAATATGTATATATTCCTTAAATTAAGACACGTCTGCAAAAAAAAAGATGAAGAAGAATAAGAAGGAGAAGGAAGCAACCTGAGCATGTTTGGCTCTAACATAAGGTGTGTCTCCGCAAGGAACTTTGTGAATCACATGAAACATATCTCTGTCTTTTGACATTATATTCTTATTTCCTGCAAGCT